ATGGCTTGCTTCTTCACACCTGCAACTCCCTGTATACACCTGGTACTTCAGCCACATCAAACAGTCGTGATTCTCAAAAAGTGCTACTTGCTTCCTTCTTTCCTTCCTTCCTGTCTGTCTGTCTGTCTAATCCCTCCTCATCCTTCAAGATCCAAGCAAGAGCCCTATCCTTAAGAAGCTTTTCTGGTGCCCACTGGTCTAGCCCCCTCCTCCCAGCTGTGCCGATGCTGCAGCCCAGCTGACACTGAGCAGCTCATGCATCTGTCCCCGCTCAGTGGAGTTATAACACAACTTTAGTGATGGCTCATATCTGTTCTCACTCGGTGTCGACAACTTGGCCCGTTTTCATCCCATTCTACATAGAACTTTTCCTAGTGACTATGACACCTAACGAGTCCTGGTGTGGTGCTGTGGGTTATTGCGCCAACTGCAAAGCTGTTTGAACTGCAGGGTCGGTGGTTCAAGCTCACTAGCTGCTCCTCAGAAAACCTATATAGGGTTGCTATGGGTCAGAACTGACTCAGTGGCACTTAACAACAATGACACCTAAAACAGTTCAGCCTAATCATGCTTTGCTTTTGATATAGGAGCCTTGGTGGCACAGTAGTGGAGCACTCTGTTGCTAAGTGAAGATCAGCTGTTCCAAAGGAGAGACGTATGCAGTCGACTTCATAAAGATTCGGAAACCTGACTGGACAATTCTACTCTATCCTCTAGGGTCAGCTGGCTCCATAGCAGTGGGTTGGGTTAGGTTTGGGGAGTTTGCATTTTTATGTAGTAGTTTTAGTTTATAAAGTGCATTCAAGTATTTTGTCTCCATAGTAACCCTGTGAGAATATGGTACAGCAGATAGCTAGTAAAGAAATGGTTTCTTGTTCAAAGTGATGGTTTCACTTTGTGGCAGATGATTGAGGGTACTAGGACTAAGGCATCTTGGTTCTGATATCGTCATATTTGGTATATTTATATTTTTATGGCAACCTTGATTTCCTCTTTGGTCCAAGGATTTATTAATAGAAATAAATTTCTAACTTCTAAATAACTTAATTTTATTAAATTACTTTCTAGATTTGTGGTTTAAAAAATGTTGCCTGACTGGTTTCTACTCTTAGGAATTTATTGATGTTCTCTTTGTGGGCTGGCATGTCACCAAGTTTTGTAAATGTTTTATAGATGTGGATATGTAGAAGAATGAGTGATCTCTTAGTACAGTGTGAAGTTTACAGAATGTGAAGTTTGATGAATATTTATGAAGTCAGGCTGAATAATCATATTTCGTTCATACCTTTAATATCTGTAATTTTTCTCTACATTATCAAAGACTCCGAGATGTATGTTGAAGTTTCCAGTCATAACTGTAGTTTTGATAATTCTCTTTATAGTACTTCTATGTGTTGCTTTATGTATATGCTGTTATCTAACACATAAACATAAAATAACTTTTTTCTGATTTAATTTCACTTTATAATCTTTTTGATCAGATGGTTATAATACCTTTCTGAAACTATTGTGTCCATCTTATATTATTTGCTCATTCTTTCATTTTTTTACTTTATTTTATGTGTCACTTAAAAAAGCCTTAGAGCTGCAATTATTTTTAACCAATCTTTAAGACTTTCTTTTCTAAATAGAAGAGGTTAAACCCATTAATTATATTTTAACTCATCTGTTATTCTTTTTTTTTTATGTTTTTTGTTATTTCCATTTCTTTTACTACATTGAAACTTTTTTTTTCTTTTTTACTGTAGTAGTAATTTGAAATTTATGCAATAGATTTGATTCTATATCCCTTTATTTGTTTTAGTATTTGAACTTATTTTTTCCCTACTTTAAAAAATATATTTTTTAAGGACAAAATACTTTGTATTGAGTATTTTGTAAACCATGTTAATATATGCTATTTTGTGATATAATGTTCTTAAATATTTTTTATTCTGACTTACATTTATGGGAAATGGAAACTCAGGTGTTAAAACAAGAGCTGCAATGAGGAAGAACTATGTATGTAGCATGTGTCTATATGTCTGTACCTTATATAAGAAACCCTGGTGGCGCTGTAGGATAAGCACTGGACTGTTAACCGCAAGGTTGACCACTAGTTGCTCCTGGGAAGAAAGATGAGGCTTTCTGCTCACTTACAGATTTACAGCCTCAGAAACTTTATACAGGGTTGCTATGAGTTGAAACCAACTCATTGATAGTAGGGGTTTACCTTATGTATGTTTTTATTCTCCTTTCCTTTCAGGTGCTCGTTTGAGGTTATGTATTACTGTAATTTTTTTTCTTCACAGTTCAGTTCATGTATAGAGAGTGGATGATACCTTCCAAGTAGGCTTTCTCCATCAGAGACTGAAGGGAGAAGTGATGCAGTAGTCTCTTAGTGTGTAAAACTGTCTCCAGACACATTTCTACAGCTGAATTTCACAAAAGCCATAGGTCTTGCTACTCTAATATTGTAGATAACAAAACTCAAGTTCAAAAAGTTAAGCAGTTGTCTGGAATCTTGAACATTCTCACAGAGGCTGACATTCACTATGAAACATAGCTAAAACTCAAACGTAAATTGTTTGACTTCTGGAGTGTGAGGAAATGTCACTCGAGGATACCTTGTGGTCCACCCCAGGGCATGACAGAACAGCAACTGACTTAATGTTTACTCATTAAGTATAAATATCCCTTAAAATTAGAACAGTGTTGTTTCTCAAACAGCCCAGCAGGTGGCGCTACCTACCTAAATCGATCCATTTCTGCCTTTAAGTGATGTCATTAGGGCCCCATACCAAAAAACAAACAGAAAAAAAAAAAAAAAAAAAACCATAGCCATTGACTGGATCCCAATACATGAGAATTTTCAAAGTAAAAATCAATATTGAGTTTTTAAATCAGTGGTTAAAGTCCTTCTGTTTGCATATCTACATATAACATACTTTTTTAATAAAAATTAAATTCTTCAAAAGTCCTTTTTAACAAAACAGTAATCCCTCTACCTCCGCCCCAAAAAGAAACTCACAGATTAAAAACACACACACACACAACTGCAGAATGATCTAAGTCAAGTCATTTGAATTGCAAGGTCGGTGGTTCAAGCTCACCAACTGCTCCTTGGAACCCCTATTCCGGGTCGCTATGGATCGGTATCAACTTGACGGCACTTAACAACAACAATAACCATTCCAAAGCAAATTTTACTTTCAAGTTAATTGAAAATATTTATTGAGTTGATTCTGGGAAGCCTTTGCTAGGACTCTTAAGCATTCTATCGGCTCTGTTTCCTTAACTGACTTTGTATGCACAGAAGGGCTTGGCAGAGTCCATTGTACCTGGGTCCATTTTCCTGAGAACACTGCGTGCCTCTCCGTTAAAGGTAGAGATTAGACCTTGCTCATCTTCATGCTCAATGCCCATTGCATACATGTGTTGTTGTTAGGTGCTGATGAGTCGCTACTGACTCTTAGCAACCTCATACGCAACAAAACAAAACATTATAATCGTTGCCAACCTCACATCGTTGCTATGCTTGAGCCCATTGCTGCTGCCACTGTGCCAGTCCATCTCGTTGGGGGTCTTCCTCTTTTTCTCCGACCCTCCACTTTAACAAACATGTTGTCCTTCCCCTGGGGGACGGGGTCCTCCTGACAATATGTTAGAGTATGAGAGACAAAGTGTGGCCATCCTGGCTTCTAAGGAGTATTCTAGCTATACTTCTTCCAACACGGATTTGTTTGTTTCTTTGGCGGGCCATAGTATTTTTAATAGTCTCCTCCATTACATACGTGTGGATGGATTCAGTTGATAAATCTTTGACTCTGGTCCAATACAGTTTTGAGAGGTGGCAGATCTTGTAACACTTGTTACAGCACACTGGATCTTGTTGTGTGTTGCTGTTAGGGTGCTGTCGAGTCAGTCCCAACTCACAGCGACCCAGTATAGGATTTCCAAGGAGTGGCTGGTGGGTTTGAACTGCCAGTCTTGCAGTTGAAACCAGCTTTGCAGTCCAGTGCTTATCCTACAGTGCCACACCAGAATTCTACACTGGATCTTAGGATGACAGAACTAGGCAGATGAGGGAATCCAGGAGGACTGGAAACGATCCCTGCCCTTCTAGGCAAGGCACACACATGTGTGTATGATATACGTACTTGTGATAGCTTGCGATGGACTCCCAGACACACTAGTGTCAATATTATGTACTCTTCCCTTTAATAATTTTTTATTTCTGTGATGCTTAGGAGGTGAAAAGGACTGTTTAAAGGAAGAGATTAATCTGCTGGGTTTTCAGAACTGTATTTGAAGCTGTATTGAAGCATTTTGTCAGCTAAATATAGGGATTGTGACATATTACAGTTGCAGTCACTGGGGTGCAGCATAAAATAGTGCTTGCCAAAGTGCTGGCATTTGTAATAGATTTTTGTAATATATAGAAATTCAGTCAAGGAGAGAAACCACTCTTATTGGACACTGAAGTGTCTGTGCTGAGGTAGTTTTTAGTCAGGGTCAGAATGTTTAGCCCACCAGTTGTTCCGTAGGGTTTACAGTGGCTGAACATTCTGAAGTAGATCCTTAGGTCTTTCTTCCAAGGTACCTCTGTGTGGATTTGTGCCTCCATCTTTCAGTTAGCAGCCAAGCGTGGTAACGGCACGGACTCAGGGATTTGTATTTCACATAGTGGGTTAATGCTCCAGACTGCAAAGTCGTTTGAACTGCAAAGACAGCAGTTCAAGTTAACCAGCTGCTCCTTGGAAGCCCTATGCAGGGCCACTATAAGTTCGATTCGACTCGACGGCACTAAACAACAATTCATCGATTTATCTTATGAGGCAACCTTAGCCAGAGGCATAGGGAACTATAGAAGAATGATAGGGAAAAGATGAGAGCAAATGTTAGGTAGATATTTGCTTCCAAATGTTGGACTACCAGGCATGTACATCTTAATGGAGGAGCTGGTTGGGTGGTGTGTGCAGCCCATTTACAGAGTTCATTGGGTTCTTCCTGTGTTCCAGTGACCTATGGGATGATGAGTTCCAGCGTGTACTACTACAACCGGGTAATGTCGCAGCTCTTCATAGACTCTCCACTGTCCAAGACTGAGAAAACCAACTTTAAAACGCTCTCTTCCATGGAAGACTTTTGGAAGGTATTTGCAAATAACTTTGAAAGTGCCTCTACTGCTGAAATGTATTACTTTGGGTTTCTAAGTTCAAGTCAGTAGTTATCTATAGGGCTTGCTATGTGCTTACCACTGTGTGAGATATTATAAGTTATGGTGGCTTGTTATATAGTAAGACCTGTGGAAGCCAGAACCCATGTAAGGCGAAAACTTAGCACAGGAGGGAAATGCAAATATGTTCTTTTTTCTCTAAAATGAGTAATAGGAAAATGATAAGACTGCACTCGGTCAAAAGAGGAAAACTTGCAAGACCAAGAAATCAAGGCCTGTCAGGTTTTGCTTGTTACGTCAGTGTTCCTTCTCTCAAAGTTCCTTCTCACATGTATTGAGCACCTTGTATGTGCCTTGCCTTGGCTGAGTATTCATATGTTACCTTACTTAATCCTCATAATAACCTTACAGGGTAAGCTCTACAATTATCCCCCACTTGTTAATGAGGAAACCAATCTAGTGCCTTCATGTTTATGGTCACATGGCGGGAGCATGAGAAAACTGGACGTTTTGTTCGGCCTCACAGCCACTTCTTTACCTAGTTCACAGTGCATTCAGTCATTCACACATTCAAGGCATATTTCGTGAGCTGCTGGGACAAAAGGTCTGTGAGGGCAGAGTTGTGGTTGCTTAGTTTTGTCTTGTCTGCTTGTCTGCTTTTGTCGACGAGGGCATGAACTCTCCCAGCTTCTGCAGCAGTTAAGGGTACACAATAGGGCCTGTCTGAGATCTGCCAACCCCTTCCCAAATGTCACAAACCTGCTTATATTTGCCGTGGCAGCAGAATCTAAGCAGTGATGCCACAAACAGAAATATAAACTGATCTGGAGGTTATGGTGCACAGAATCTAAGAAAACCAAAAGTGAAATTAGAAATGAAATGATTGATTGTTTCTCCCTGGGGAGATACTCCTCTAAAACTTACTAAATACTGTAAGCAGAGATAATGATTTTGGATGGAAAAAGTGAATCAACAGGAAATTATTAATGCAAAAATAGTTGGCATCTAAACCACACTGAGCTGGCCAAATCAGTCCATTTCTATTGATCATCTGATGCAAGTAAAAGCAAAGAGAAATGGTCAGCTCAGTCTTCCTAATAGGTAGATCTGGTTGTGAAACTCACCAGTGACATCTCACCTGTATGTACATAATTTCATGACAATAAATGTCAAAATCTAAACGTGGATAAGGACACTGGATGGAGAATTCAACATACAGCAAGATAATGTAGACAATTAGAAAAACTACCAGATAGTACTGGTGTGGCGCTGTGGGTTAATGCGTTGGACTGCAAGGTCGGTTGAAACCACAGGTTGGTAGTTCAGGCTCACCAGCCACTCCTCAGAAACTCTATATAGGGTTTCTATGAGTCGGAACAAACTCGACGGCACTTAACAATAAAACCAGATACTCCCAACTGGACAGACAATCAAAATTTTAATATTTTACCAGAAAAAAAGGGGAAGATGGCAAATGTTATGTTGCATATAATTTTATAACATCATTATAACTTAAAAAATAAAAGGCTACAGTTGCTGGTACTGCTTAGGTACAAGACACCACTAAGCATTAACTCTCAGTTCAAAGGTTTAGAGTCATGCCTTCAAGGGACTGGACAGTCAATTGGCTTAATATTAATATTAAAGCTTCTGTTCTGCTCCTTAGCTCAGTGCGTAGTGCTGTGGTCTTAGCCATCCAAGCTACAACAGTGGGTGCCTACTCACTAAGAGCACCAGAGGAAGAAGGAGACCCAACCCAAGAACCAGAGAAGGAACTGGACTGAAGGTCTAGTTGCCTCCATGAACTACTTCCTTTGCCCAGCTACCATTACTGAACTCCTGAACTCAATCCATGAATCTTGACCTAAAAGGGAGACATTATGGAATAAAACTTCAGATTTTCATGGAATCCAGACTTACTAGACCAATTGAGACTTACTTAGAGGAACCCTGGAATCTCCTACCCTGAAAGAAAAAAAAAAATCCTTTAACTTTGAACCGAAAGTATCCCCTGATGTCACCTTTAAACTCAACAGCAGCTTAGCTAAATAAGTAAAGAATGTTCACCTTGAGCACTGCACACTATTAAGCAATTAGCAGGTTGACAAAAGCAAGCCTAAAGCAGGTGGCAAGTTCAGGGGCAGTAAATCTTAATGGTGAAATAACCATATGGTCGAGATAAAATAGTGATAATGTGATAGATAACGTGACAAATGTAGCCAGTGTCATTGAACAGAACTTGTAAAAATTGTTGAATGGGTGTATATTCTGCTGAGTATATTATCACCCAAAATTTAAAACAAACAAAAAAACCTCTAACCTTTTCATATCCCTACAAGTTTAGAGCAATGATCGTGTTGCCTTTTTTGTACTAATAAGAGAACTAATAAGGTTGTGAATTTATACTCCATCTCCCTTTGGTCATAGAAAAGAAATCAGAGTTGCCATTAATTAAACACCCACCCAGTACCAGGTACAATAAGCATGCTAAGATGTATTTTACAGATGTAAGAAGCGTGACTTAGAGGAAGTTTCTTCACAAGGCCTCAGAGCTGTCAATGATGGAGCAAGTTCCAAACTCAAAGCTCTCTGACAGTAAAGCTCCGTCTTTTCCCTCTACCACAGTCACAGAACAACTGGGTTGTTGGTCATGCAGATATTTCAGGTAGGAGCAAGGGCAGACATTGAACCTGGAACGTTCCAAAAATCTTTCCTTTGCTTTCAGTTCACAGAAGGCTCCTTGTTGGATGGACTGTACTGGAAGACGCAGCCCAGCAACATAACTGATGCTGACAACCGAAGTTTTATTTACTATGAGAACCTGCTGTTAGGGGTACCACGCATACGGCAACTCAAAGTCAGAAACGGATCCTGTTCTATCCCACAGGACTTGAGAGATGAGATTAAAGAGTGCTATGACGTCTACTCTGTCAGTAGTGAAGACAGGGCTCCGTTTGGTCCTCGAAATGGAACTGCGTAAGTGTCTGTGGCTCACAACCATGTGCCACTGGCCTCTCACTGTTTTTGCTTATGCATTCATTCTCATTAAGGAGAAGTTGCCTTCAGACACTCTTTTGTGCTCATATGTAAGGCCTCAGACAAATAGAACTTCGGCTTCTCAAGTTTTCTCTACTTGTTACCACATTTCAGTTATGGTGTGCATATTTCTCAAAAGGCTAAAGTGTACCCCACATGGCCCACAAAAGGAAGTTATCTGAGCTTTAGAAAGTTTCTTGTGAGATGTTTATAGACCCAGCAATATCTTCCTCTGGTATCATAGTGGGTTATGCATTGGGCTGCTAACCGCAAAGGTTCATAAGCCACTCCTCAGGAGAAAGATGAGGCTTTCTGCTCCTGTAAAGATTTACAGCCTCGGAAACTGTAGACAGGGCTGCTATGAGTCGGAACGGACTCCAGTGCACACAGTAGCAGCAGCAAGTCAGGAAACAGCTGAGCTGGAAGAGGCCAGTTGAGGTATAGGATTTTGGAGAAGCCCCTTAAGATGACCAGCCAGAGTGAAAGTAAGAGTCCAGCCTTTAGCCACTCATGTGAGTGCTTCTTGAGGTCATGAGGTCAGAGACCAGGGGGAAATCCCTGAAGTTAGTAGAGCTGCATTTTGAAAGTAAGGATTATGTCATAATTTATCTTTGTATTTCCGTTAAGTCTTAGAAGATGCCAACCAGTGAAGGACAAGAACTGTATACATAATATAATATATACATAATATACATAACATGAACAACTGTATACTAGAATATAATGACTATAGGGTAAAGGTTAACTGACTTGAATAAATTACCTTGGCTTCTCTCCTAGTTAAATGTAGCCTTTGGTCTTTATTGGGGAGTGGAGCAATGGGACAGGAGGATTTGTAGAGAAAGAAAGGATCAAAAGTGGAGTCCATGGGACATGGGAAAAGACTGCAGGACAAACCCAGGGAGCATGGCACCCAAGGATCCTGATTGCCTTGTCATTTGCACATGCCAGGCCCACAGAAGGGGTTGGGGGCACTATCCCAGATAGGAAAGCTGTGATTGTAGGAGGAGATTCCTTTGTTCTCTGTGCCCCATAAAAGATCAATAGATAGAGGTAGAATTTTGTAAACTCATCCCAGTGTGGCACTGTAGGATCAGTACTAGACAGTGAACCACAAGGTCAGCAGTTCAAATTCTGCAGCTGCTCCTCGAAAACCCTGTACTGGGTTGCTATGAGCTGGAAGTGACTCAATGGCACTTACCAACAACAATCATGGCTTCTTATCAATGATTTCCCTCACCCGTGTGATCTGTGTGTTATTTTTACTCCTTATACTTCTCACTGGCAGTATAGATGTTTAGTATAATGCTCTCAATAATATTTATAAGGAGCCGTGGCGGCGCCATACTTTATGCATTGGGCTGCTAACTGCAAGGTCGGCATGGTTCGAAGCTACCAGGAAGTGGAGGCTGTCTGCTCCCATAAAGATTTGCAGCCTCACAAACCCTACATAGGGTCGCTGTGAGTCAGAATCAACTTGAGGAGAGTAAGTATATTTATCTATGTGAAGATGGGGTCTTTTCACCACCACCACCCCACAACATAAGCAAAAAATCAAACCCAGAGAATGGCCTCTAAATCCCTCTGTCCCATATTTCCCTAGGTGGCTCCATGCAGTTGTCAGGACCTTCTCACTACTGAAGGAGCTCTGAACAAAAGGCCCCTGATGTTTTATGGACTTCAGGGGGCCAGGGGCAATGTGGAAGGACTGGTGGTGGAAAAGTGCTGAGTCAGAGTGACGGAAGTGTCAAGGTTCAGTATTCCTCTCCTTCCTGACAAGGAGACCAAGAGTGCCTAAGGAAAGCCTCCAGGCCTATAAAAGAGGTCTTCTTTCTCAGAAGTGTAGGCCAAGAATGCAGATCCACAAAAGCACAAGGTTAGATGGGGGAGGGAGAGCATCTGACTTCCCTAATGTACCAGGTCTGGTGGGGTGAGCAGCACCGCATCCCCCCGGCCTACCAGGTAAAGGCTTTGAGTCACCTATGGTCAGGTTTGAAAAATCACATGTGGATTTTTAGCCAGGAGCCAGACCCCTTAGTAACAAGGACATTTTTAAGTACAGAACATTTTCTGTTAGCTTTTTCAAGTAAAATTTTTGTTTTCAGAATGTAGTTATTTACCGTGTACTATATAGTCCTGGTGTGGCACTGTGGATTAATGCTCCAGACTGCAAAGCCGTTTGAACTATAAGGTTGGCAGTTCAAGCTCACCACCCTATACAGGGTCGCTACGGGTCAGAATCGACTCGATGGCACTTGACAACAACAACAATATACGTGTACAATATGCATGGCAGTTTTTCTGTCTGGTTTAAATCTCAGCCTTCTGAAAGTGATGTGAGTATGTATTTGTACCCACCTGTGCACATTTGCAGGGCTCTCTAAGAATGGCTGCCCCATGTTCACTCCCTGTGGTCTAGCTGGCAGGCTTAGAGATCTAATTCTCTCAGCTCGCCTGGAGTCCATCCCCAGAGGAACTGACCCTAGAATGTAGGTTTGTTAACATGAAATCGGGTACATATCTTTTCCATGCCTACAGTCTTTGTTTACCATCAATGCACAGCCTTACTTAATTCCAGGGGATGCATAAAACCAATTTAGTAAAATCAGAAAATTCAGCGTAAACCAAACACCACTGCCATCAAGTCGATTCCAACTCTTAGCAATCCTGTATAGGATTTCTGAGGCTATAAATCTTTACGGGAGCAGAAATCCTCATCTTTCTCTTACAGAACGGCCAGTGGGTTTGAACTGCTGACCTTGAGGTTAGCAGCCCAGTGTTTATCCTACAGTGAGGAATTAAATAATCTTAAAAGAATTTTTCCAGGTTATAGGAGGGGGCTCCAAAAAAATGGTGGAAAAAAAAGGGATGAAAAGATATGGAATTCTTCCAAGAACTTTTTGAAGCCTCCTCATACACACATCCCTCCACATCTTCAGGAAATTGGTTTGTTCTAGACTATCCGTACCCCATACCAAAATATATAGATGCTCAAGTCCCTTATATAAAATTACTTAGAATTTGCATATAGGAGTCCTGGTGTGGTGCTGTAGGATAAGCACTGGACCACAAGGTCAGTGGTTCAAACTCACCAGTCATACTTGGAAAACCTTATACAGGGTCGCTGAGTCAAAACCAACTTGAGGGCACTTAGCAACAACAACATTTGCATATAAACTACAGAATCCTCCCATATACTTTACATTGTCTCTGGATTACTTATAATAACTAATAAAGTGTGGTGTTGGTGGTGGTTATGTGCCATGGAGTCGGTTCCAACTCATAGTGACCAGGCACAGGGTTTCTGAGGCTATAAATCTTTATGGGAGCAGAAAGCCTCATCTTTCTTCTGCGGAACAGCTGGTAGTTTCGAACTGCTGACCTTGTGGTTCACAGCCCAATTCGTAACCACTACGCTACCACAATGTAAGTACACAGTGTAAGTACACTTACAGTGTAAGTGCTGTGTAAGTAGCATTTACTCCCTCTTAGCCATTGAGGGAAGGAGCTCTGGTAGCATAATGGTTATAAATCAAGATGCTAATGTCAAGGTCAGCAGTTCAAAACTACCAGCTGTTCTATGGGAAAAAGATGAGGCTTTCTACTCTCGTGAAGATTTACAACCTCAAAAACCCTATGCAAGGTCACTATGAACCAATTCCATGGCGCATAGCCATCACCAACAACAACCTTGGAGGGATTGCTCTGACCATTTAATCGGTTCCCATCATCCCCCATTTTTGCTCTGGTTGTATCAATGGATGCAGAACACGTTATGAAGGACCAACTGTAGTACTGATTGTTGCTACTTAACTCCATTTTCTAGTCTCTGCTACAGTCCTGTGGTACTTACCCTCTTCCAGTATTTTTCTCTATCTCACATCATTAATAAGAGAAATTTATACAGTCACTCATCCACAAGGTTGGCGGTCACACTCTATGTCAGACACTATAGAAGAAGTTATGCCACACATTACATATGTACCCTTCACAAAAGCAAAAACTATAAAATCGGCATTGTTATCTCCAGTTTAACAAGTTCTGGTAGCACAGTGGTTACAAGTTGGGCTGCTATTCCCACTGTCAGCAGTTCGATACTACCAGCAGTTCTACAGGAGAAAGATGAGGCTTTCTGCTCCCTTAAAGATTTACAGCCTCAGAAACCCTATTCAGGGTTGCTATGAGTCAGAACTGATTCCACAGCACACAACCACCACTACCATCTCCATTTTATAGATACATTGGGATTCACTTACCCACTTTGTCACAGTAAATGATCAAGCTGGGATTTAATCATGCTTCCCTGACTCCAAAACTATGCCATGGTGCTTGTCCTGTTGTTAATGATTTTGTTAAAGTGGATTTTGATGTCCCAGCTCACCACCAAGCTTCTTGAAGGCAGGGACTCACAAGATGTACTCAAAGGAGAGTCATGCTCATTGCTAAGATTTATGACAGTAAAAGAATACTCCATATAGAGTCATTCTTATTGCTTAGATTGCTACAGTAAAATCAGAAAGGAGAAAGACTTAAAGGAAAGACCAGATCAAATTCGACACACACTTCCAAGGGACCCGTCTGAGAATGTGCTTAATTTGTAGGAATTGTTGTATCTATCCTGGAAGCTTTTTTGAGATTTCATGCCCAAGACAACTGATCGCATGAGCACCTTCTGCCTGGCACCAAAATTCCAGACTCCCTGGTGTCCAGAAGAACCACATAGTTCTGTTTGGGAAGGTTTCATGTCAGAATAGAACGGTGTTTGCCAGTCAGGTTCCCAGGTACCAGGGCAGGAGCCATCTGGCAAGGGCAACAGTCTCTGGTTTGCTAGACCATCTTTTTACACCTGAGCCCTCTGCTCCTCACCAGGCCAGTCTTTCCTGCTGCCACCGGAGTAATCTTGTTCTGCTCCTCCCTTTCAGGCCCCTTCATACTTAGTATTTGCAATCTGACCACCGTCTACCCTTCAGCCTTCTTTTCCTCGTCATATGGAAGCCAGCCTGTACTTCTCTGGCCCTGCTAAGTTCATGCTTGACAATACCCTTTCCTCCCTTCCTTCTACCTTTGCAAATGCAAGCCTAATATCCTTTCATGGTCCAGGTCCAATACAACTTCTTCCCAAAGCCTCCGCTGATCCACCTCTTCCACTGCCAGACCCCCCAGATAAAGATGTTGTCCCTCTGAACTAACATAGCACTTTCTCTGTATTTCTCTTTTTGTTCTTATCTTCTGCTGCCTTTTACTTGAATTGTTTTGTTACAACTTTTCTCTCACTATTGATTATAAAGTGCGGGGCCGGGAGAGCAGTCTTGCTTCATCTTCATGTTGTCATTGGTGCCAAGAAAGCATCTTGTCCCAAAGATATCTTCTGTCAGTATTAGTGGATTCAGACTGGAGCTGAGACTGAATGAACCGGAGGGAGCTTCTCCAGGAAGGGAATCCTCTGTCAGTGAACCAAGCATCTGTCACTTAGGAAGCTTCACTGCTTTTTAGTCTTTGCTAACCATTCTGTGGGTGGCTAACATGGGTTTTTTTTTTTTACTGAGGTTGGGAAAGGCCTAGGGGGCACTTGGAGTGGAATAAAGGGTGTTCCCCAGGTTCTTCTTTAGATGGGTTCGAATTTTTAATTCAATGTTTAATAAATTCCGTAGTTTCTTAAAAAAAAAAAATTAGTGGATTCACTTCAACCCTAAACTTGCATGTTGAACAGTTAATGATCTATCTGTTCACAGTGGCCCCTGTCCTTGTTTTGGCCAATGATACCGGAGCTTTTCCACCGTCTTTTCCCACAGATGTAGTCAGTTTGATTCCTGTGTATTCCATCTGATGAAGTCTATGTGTGTAGTCACCTTTTATGTGGTTTAAAAAAGGTATTTGCAAAATTCTATCATGTGATCTCCACCATTATTTTGGAGCTTGGTGCAGTTGCCCTTCCTTTGGCTTTGGAAGCCTATTATAGTTACCCCATGGAAGGCTGCCACAGAAACTTAGTGCTGAGAGACAGATTCTTGATTCTGCCCTCACAGTCTGCAGCACCAAGTTGGTACTAAGCTTCAGGGCCCTCTGTTCCTAAAATAGGGCGAATAACTGTATCCAATAATTAAATAAGTGAGCACTTAGGATGTGCCATGGCAGGTATGTTACCTAGCTTGATAAAAGAACACTGTGACATGCTTTTGACTTTTCCAGGGACCAACTGCCTGAGAACTTGTTGTGTTTGACTAATTCTACCTGTTTATTTTGTTTGTGTTTTTATTTAGTTGGATCTACACAAGTGAAAAAGATTTAAATGGTAGTAGCCACTGGGGAATGATCACAACCTACAGTGGAGCTGGCTACTACCTGGATTTGTCAAGAACAAGGGAGGAGACAGCTGCCCAGATTGCTAACCTCAAGAAAAATGGCTGGTTGGACCGAGGAACCAGGGCGGCTTTTATTGACTTTTCTGTGTACAACGCCAATGTTAACCTGTTCTGTGTGGTCAGGTGTGTGCTGAAGGCACCGTTCCCTCGCCATAGCTGTGTAGTTGTATGGCCCTCCTATTCTGGAGACAGGCCAGAAAACCATTGACAACAGTTGACTAGTGGCTATGAATCAGGCTGCAAACTGCAAGGTCGGCAGTTCAAAACTACCAGCTGCTCCGCGGGAGAAAGATGAGGCTTTCTGCTCCCGTAAAGATTTACAGCCTCGGGTCACGATGGGTCAGAACTGACTCCATGGCACATAACAACAAGACATTTGACTGAATGAGGGTGCTGAATGCAGGGCCAAACACTAAAGGTTTATTGGGATGATGATATTTGGGTTGGAGAGGAGTTCAGATCCTGAAATATCCTGAGTTGGAAGGAATTTTAAGTCTGCCCCAGGCTCCTTCTCATACCAGAACCTTTCTGGGAGTAATGTTTGGTTTTCCTGCCAGATATCCATAACCAGCATGAGGACATTAAGTGTTTAGGCTCCTTCACTAAGGACCCTACCAAATCTTACCTCATTTCCCCAAGTTTCCTGCTCTCAGATGATGGCCAAGCTTTTAGCACACAGCAGAGTCATAGGTGGTCCCAGGCTATGCCTAATATTCAATAGAATGGCCAGGTATGCGTTAGACTCATGACATAAAATTCCTTCCACAGTCCTGTGATGCTACCATCCCAGCTGCTCAGTGGGAGACAGATCCCAGTGGCTCATCTGGGGCCTCTTGTTCATTCCGTCATTCAGCAAACTTTTATAGGACATCTAAGATATGCGAGGGACTGTTTCAGGCTACACCTGTAAACAAAACAAAGAACTCCACCCTTGAAGACCTTGCATTCTACCAGGATGAAATAGAGAATAAACCTAATAAATTTAGTATATGTTAAAAAGTAACAAGGGGTCTCCCTGGGTGGTTCATGGTTGAGCACTCACCTACTAGCTAAATGGTTGACAATTCGAGTCCTCCTAGAAGTAACTGGGAACATGGCTTTGATGATCTGCTTCCAAAAGATCACAGCCTTGAAAACCCTATGGTGCGGTTCTCTGCACACGGGCTTTCCATGAGTCAGAATAGACTCACCAACAATTAATAGCAACAACAGAAGGAACAAGTGCCATTAATAAAAAAGAAGAAAACAAAACAGTACAGCAGACCCGTGGGGATCTAGAGTTCACCCACTTTAATCCTCCTGGCGAGTGTTAGCAACACCGAAACTTTAACCAATGTGAGTGATATGCATAGGCAATAAGGATCACATCTCATAATATCTTTACCATCATTTTTGAAACTAAAGTCTGCTTTTATAAGGTCATTTGGCCTTTTTTAGTTCACATCTTTAACCACTTAATGCAGAAAATAACACCATGTTAAATCAAGTGCTGATTATTACTCGAATGAGCGTCTACTGCAGTTAACTTTTTCTCGTGACTCCACTGAAGACAGGAGGATAAAAATAGGCAGGCAACTCTGACTGACATTTAAGTAAATCTCTATTTATAGAAGGTCTTGAGTGTTTCTTCCACTTCCTCCTCATACTTGAAGAATGAGTACTGCTAAGGCAAGGATTCCATTTCTCAGCATTCTTGTCTGTGCTGCTCGGAGTGGTTGGCAGATGTGGGGCCTGAGTAGGTGGACTGTGAGTGATGACTTGGTGCACAGCTGGCCTTGTCTTCCACTCAATTCACACTGGGCTTGCTGCAAGGCTCTTCAGTAGGACTGAGTTTTTGGTTCTCACCCCAACTCTCTAACACACCAAATGAAAAAGAGTAAATGGAGAATGGACAATAAAGAGAAGGGAAAACTGTGTCTCATTGACCAAGTATAAAGCTCCACCTCAATTATGGTAAACAGATACAGATCAATGCCATCAGTATGAATGTAAAAAAAAAATTATACTGTTATTATTTCATATAGTCGTTGAGCACAACAACAATACAATAACAATTAACTTATGGTAAGACTGAAAAATATAGACAAAAATACCTCCCAGCAAGATAAACTATCCAGTGCTAATGAATGAAAGACTTAGTCCCTATCATATATGTACAAAATGTATCTCCTTCTTAACCAGATCATATGTGTTTTGAATGAATTTTCTTCTTTTACGTTTTTTCTTGTTGTTGAGTATGACTTGTTTAATGTTGTTGTTAAGTGCTTTGAGTCGATTCCAACTCATAGTGACCCTGTATAGGGTTTCCAAATAGTGGCTGGTAGGTTTGACTGCCAACCTTATGGTTAGCTGCCCAGTACTTACTTGATGATTAACTTTTACTTCTTTAGTTTTTTCTTTAAATATTAAACATTGTGAGTAGTATAAATATGACAAATGTAGAAGGGAGATGGAGGAACAAAGACTCCTTTGGACTGGGAGGGCTGGAGAAACCTTGTTCCTTTTATGACACAAGCTTTGTTAAATCTGAGGTTGCTGTCTGGGATATAGTATTTTGCAAGGGGTTTGGAGTCACTGGTGGCAGAAGTGTTACTACCATATGGTACAGGGACAGAATAGATGAATGTTCTCTCCTAGCTATACCCATGTGTCGTTGTTTTCATTGTTCTTATTTGGACACAGGTTATTGGTTGAATTTCCAGCAACAGGCGGTGTGATTCCATCTTGGCAATTTCAACCTGTAAAGCTGATCCACTATGTCTCAACGTTTGATTACTTCCTGGCGGCCTGTGAGATTATCTTTTGTTTCTTTATCCTTTACTACGTGGTGGAAGAGATATTGGAAATTCGCATTCACAAGCTACAATACTTCAGGAGTTTCTGGAATTGTCTGGATGTTGTGATCATTGTGGTAAGTTTGAGAATAATACTAAATGGTGTACATAGTTACAAAAACATTACGTTCTTTGATGTCCTCAGCATTGTGGATCTTGATTTTCGGAATGCCAATCTAAAAATTCTCCTCTATTCTATCATTGTTAGTCTTAGCCATTAGAGTCTTATCTTTCATGATAGCCCCTTCTGGATTTGAAAGTAGACATGCATTTTTAATAAGCTCTCGGCTAGCCACGCTAATTTAGTAGTTCATATTTGACTTTGCAGTGCCATTTGAGATGTAGGGGAGGAAATGATGTTAGAGTTTTTACTAATGATATTTTTCTTCAGTTTCTAGTAAAATTGGTTTTTATTTTTCTACACATGTTGAAATTGTAGCAAGAAGAAACACCCTGTGAGGGTATTTTGAAGAAAAACCTTTGTGCAGTTCAAGTTTTTTTGCAAATAATCCATAAAGGATAAAATTGAAATTATGATGGTCAAGGTTTCCTGTATGAAGTGTGAGAGTTCATAAGGCAGAGATTTATGATGCAGGCAAGCCCATGGCACCTTGTAGCTCCTGTGCCTGCCCTGACTCAAGTTCATTACTAACACTTGTTCAAAATGTTTCCCCA